AACCAGAAAGAATGATGAACGCATTCTTACCATTCAACCGCAAAACAGTCAAGCATCTCTTTGAGCCAATTTTTTTACTCTTACAGAGAGACTAAAAGAATTACTAATGCCACATATAAGTTAAGAACTCGTCCTCCAGGCCTAACTATGCTCACAGGGCCATGGTAAGCAGTTGACAGTAGATCAAGTCACAATACACAGATCACTCAGCAGCACATATTCCTGGCTGCTTCATCACAGTCTTTCCTACGCCATGTGAGACGTACCTGATTCAATGGGTCACTTAACGGCAGGCCTCACATTACAAAAAATTTCAAGTCACCATTTAAAATAATTGCAGTCTTTATTAATGCAATTTTTTTGCCTTAACATGTGCAACTTTGTTTCATATGTATGCTTGGAGTTTCAAAGGTTTTATTTTGCTTCATGCTTTTACCTGAAGGATTAGTTATGCCAGTACCAGTATCACTACATGACTGTATTAATCCATAGGGTACTCGACCCAAAGACTGTTTTCTATTCTAATTCCCATCTTAAAAGGGGCTAGGAAAGACAGAAAACATAGCAAAGATAACCAAAGACATGTGGGACACTTTCACCAGTTAAATTCAGCCTGCAACAAAAAACTACATCACCCAGGATTTTATTGACAAGGTGAGCAGAGTTATTCACCACTTCCAGTATGAGAATTTGAGACCAACAAATGAATTCAAAATACTGGAGGTTCAAAACATGCCAAAGAGAACTGCTCTTCACATAAGAAGCAATTAGGCTGTGGAACTCCTTTCTCCTGAGCACTGCTCATGTAAAAACACCAGATTAAGAAAAAAACGCAGGTAGAGCTAAGAAAAAACAGAAAGTACTTGAACTACAATTCTTGGAAGCTAGGAGGAGTATTTTGTGGAGATAACGACAGGCATTTCCCTGTGCTTACACGCTTTTCCCTAGGCACATCCACAGGACATCAGTCTGGACAGATATGCTGTTTGGCCTTGAAAAAAAGACATGCAGCTTACTACAGGTTGTCATAGGAGGTCTTTGGTTGTTTTTGTTGTTAAAGCATATTACTAGCATATGTATTTCCACAATAATTTTCTAGTAATTTCTATTAAGTGACCAGTTTGGAGACCACATGATATGAAGGGACTAGACATCAAGATCATGTGAAGTTCTGCACTTGAGGTGGATGAGCCTGAAACGGCCAGAGAAGTTTGACAAACTCACTGTGCTCAGCACAGCCATACTATATCCAGAACTCAGCAACAGCAAACATACTGTTATCCACAATATGCCTATTTAAATAGTAAGTACATTTGGGCTTCTCAAACTTTATAATCAATGATGTTATTAAGAAAGAAATCTGCCTACTAATTGCTTCCTATTGTCAGGATTGAGTGTTTTAAAGCACTGTATATATTACCATGGTAATGCTTGCCAGCAAACAGTTTAAAACACTCAATTATTCTCTTGTTAACAGATTAAAGTTTGAAAAAAAGTTTCGTAAGTCAACCTAATAGTTTATCCTATTCTTAATTCCATTTTACACGCTGTAGCCGTCCCATTATTCTCCATTAAAAGCCAACAAGACACCCAGTAACGCAACACCTCAGTGCTATTTCTAGTACAGTAGGAGGAAAAAAAAACACCCAAATACTTTAAAACTTCAAGTTTCCACCTTTTCTTCCTCCCATGTGCATAAACTTTCTAAACTTTTGGGACAGAGAACATTGATCAGTAGCATACCTTTGATTACTGAAGGACAGCTAATGAAATAGAATACATAAATTGCACCATAAAAACGCCCAACTTTTGTTCTTAAGCTCTCAGCTAGGTTTAAAACAACAACAACAAAAAAAATCTTTCAAGGCTAGCAGTTTTGCAAGGGAGAGCACAAGGCAAGGGCACTTAAAGCTATTATGAGCTGTGCAGAATCTGCCCAGCTCCGCAGGATGTGGATTGCATTAAGGTAACCTGCTTGTACCCACGTTGCCAAAGCCTGCTGCAAGTCCCTGCCAGAGGGATGACACCGTGGGTCCCTTCTAAAGGGAGAAAAGGAACATTCAGACTAGCAGCTTGAAACCAGTTTACAAGAACACAAAACCAACGACTTTGTCGAGTTTGACAAACAGCAATAAGATATTTGGGAACAGTTGATTAGCAAGTTACCACAGCTAGCTGCAAAGTCTTCATTAGCACCGATAGAGGCTAACTAACTACCTCTACAGCCCAGAGAAAATGCGGCGGGGG